TTTAAGAGTGAGTCATGTATAACCATATAAGGAAACTAACAGCTGTTCATTATCATTTTTGTCATTATTTACATCTCCCGAACGCTGCCGAATTTCGAAAAACGGAATACTTCTCTCTTAAAATATTACATTCTTTTTCTCGCAGCAAATCAATTTCTCGGTAATTTTGTCTTAAAATATCACATTTTATTTGTCGTAGCAATTCATTTGTGTGATAAATTTCTCTTTTTTTTTGTTTCGTTCTATTGCTTTTTTCTTTATTTTCATGATACAGATTTCGTTGATTTATCAAACGTTTCATACATTTTATTCTATTAATATGATAAGAATGTCTTTTTCGTTGTTTTTTTCTTCCACGCCCACCAAAACATGTTCGATACTTTTTCACAGCAAATTTACTCCATGAAACTAATCTACAAACTTTCTTACAAACATTATCTAACACATCTCTAACAATACACAAATTTGTTGCATGTGTTCGAACTGAAATAACATTACCTGTTGTTGTAATTGTTTCATAACGATTTCCTAATATTCTACAATCGACTGCATTAAAACCTCTTGGATCTGGATTTGTATCCTTTTTAAAAATATCTTTTTTATTTAAAAAATAATTAACAGATATTGGACATTCTAAAAGATTACAATCGACATCTTTATTAAGTTTTTTGTTTCTTGATTTATAAAACAATACTAAAAACCAAAATATTCCACGGATCATATTCCATCCACTGTGACTCTTTTGTTTAATTTGTTTTTGCAACGCATAACGCAATCGATTTTGTCGACTTTTTGCCAATGCTTTAGAACGAGCTGACTTTGCCATTTTTTGAAATTTCCGAATTAGTCAATTCAATAAATAATTACAAATATTTTTAGTAATATTTTCTTTTATATAAATAATTGTAAATATTTTTAGTAATATTTTCTTTTATATAAATGTGAATTTAAAATTTTTTAAAATGCTAGAAAGCTCTTAGCGATATGCACTAGGCAATATGCTCTTGGCAAAACATTATCATCTATTTCGTCTGATTTACACAAGCCATGGAAGGATTTATTTGAACGCACTAGACTCCATGGATGAATCTAAGTTATACAATATGATAATTAAAGTGTGTATGCATATTGCATTTCTGATATCAATGGTGTTTTCAGAGTGATTCATCTTAACCATATAAGGAATATATCATATGTTAATTATAATTTTTTTGTTATATTTCTATCTCCCGCTTGGAGTCGAATTTTGAAAAACGGCTTGCAGATGTGCAATCGTCACGGTCTCACGATTTCAGCAATCTTTTTCTCAGTTTGAAAACATCATTAGTTACAGAGAACGACTGGCTGACTTAAATCGTGACTCATACGTAATTATCATTGTTTTTGTTGTATTTCTATCTCCCGATTGGAGTCGAATTTCGAAAAACGGATTTCAGATGTGCACTCGTCATGTTCTCAGGATCTCGTCAAGATTTTTTTCGACTGAAAATGATGCTCAGAAGCTGAGAACGAGTGGCTGACTTGAATCGTGACTCATGCGTCGAGAACAAGGAGAAGAAGAAGACTAGACCTCCACCCGGCCCGAGGCCGGCTAGAAAAGTCGGCTGACTGCAAAGCCCGAAAAAGATCGAAATATGAATCTATACGACATCTATACTATATTGAAATCCTAGACTCATGTAGAGGAAATCATAATGAATTTCAATCGCCTTCGGCTATCTTAGTTCAGCTGACTAGTGAGAGATAATGAATCTGAATCATAGATTTCCATATAAGGAAGCTCTCAGCTGTTCATTATCGTTCGTTGTATCTCATGCGGATAAGCCATGCAGAGATTTTTCTAAACGTTTTAGACTCCTTCATGAATGAATTTAAGCTATGCAAGACGATAATTAAAGTATATATGCACATGAGATCTGAATAATGAATGGTCTTTTAAAACTGAGCCATCTATAACCATATAAGGAAACTATCAGCTGTTAATTATCATTTTTGACATTATTTATATCTCCCGAACGCCGTCGAATTTCGAAAAACGGATTTCAGATGTGCACTCGTCATGTTCTCAGGACCTCGCCAAGGTTTTTTTCGACTGAAAATGATACTCAGGAGCTGAGAACGAGTGGCTGACTTGAATCGTGACTCATGCGTCGAGAACAAGGAGAAGAAGAAGAAGAAGAAGAAGAAGAAGAAGAAGAAGAATTTGCCATGGCAACTAAGCGAGTGAAAAGCAATAAGTCGGCTACTGCACTTCGTGCAGTCAGCCGACTTAAAGAAGCAGAAGAAGAATTTACCATGGCAACTAAGCGAGTGAAAAGCAATAAGTCGGCTTTGACTGCACTTCGTGCAGTCAGCCGACTTAAATATATTGATGAAAAACTATAGATAAAATCATCGAATGATCACAGTCATCTTCGCATTGGAGTCGTTAGAATTTCGTGTAAGATTATCAAAGTAATTTAAACCAGAGAAACAGATTTTTATTTGCTGTTTTTTTTCACTGGTTATAATAATATCCCAGCATTTTTTATGAAAAACAAAGGTATATGTATTTGATTTTGTAGTCGAATATTTCTAAATTATATCGATTGATATGAATTTTCGATTCCCTTATTATTATAAATTATGATTTTACATGATCTTTAACGACGAAAATCGTTAACATGTCTTTTATTTTTATGAGAATCAAAGATTTAGACTATTGTATTTGTGAAAGAAAGTGATACTAATATGAACTTTCAAAAGTCGACAATCTTCTTTTTTTACGTCTATGTTCTAAAAATACTTTGTACATGTGCTGTTAATGTGGCAAACTTCTCATCATAGTGCTCAAGAGCTCAAAAAAGTTTGCTCTTTGAAATGAACGCGAACTGTGACGAACTCTACAAATAACATATGATGCAAAAGTAATGGCACAAAATGTTGATCTGTATTTCTCTCCGAAAGAAGAGTGCTGAAAGAAAAAATTTTAACCAAATGTAGAGCGTTTTCTGTTCTTTCGAATCATATATAGCTTATTTTTCTACAAAGTTTATACGTGAAACACCATATGAAGAAATAGAGGCACTCTTAAAAACATTCCGCACTTTTCGTGTAATTTAGAAAAATGGCGCAAAATGTCGATCTTTATATGTCTTCGATAAATACGTGCTGGAAAAAAGATTTTACTACCAATCGATAGGAAATTTTCTCCTCTTTCGAACAGCAGGGAATTTATTTTTAATATACATTCGTAAATGAAATGAGACAAGAAAGAAAGGGAAATATTTGCACAATAAATTTGAAGTTGTTTATAAACTCTTCAAAAATACCTTGATGGACAACCCTAATTCGAATTTTTTGTACTGATTAAAAAGCCCTTGTAAGACAGCAGTTACTTAAACTTATACAAACTTTTTAATATTATCTTTTAGGTGTTAGTTAATTATAATTAACTGCCATTTTGAAGATGTTATTGAAGAATTGATAAAAAAACTTCAAATTTATTGTGCGAGTACTTTCCTTTCTTTTTTGTCTCATTTCATTTACGAATGTGTATTAAAAATAAATTACATTTTGATCGAAAGAGGAGAAAATTTGCTATCGATTGGTAGTAAACTCTTCTTTCCAGAACGTATTTATCGAAGAGATATAAATATCGACATTTTCTGCTACCTTTTTATGAAAAAGTGCGGAATGTTTTTAAGGGTGCCTCTAGTTTTTGTTACGGTGTTTCATGTATAAACGTCGTAGAAAAATAAGTTATGTATGATTCGAAAGAGAAGAAAACGAACTACATTTTAGTAAAAAGGTTTTCTTTCAACACTCTTCTTTCGGAGAGAAATACGGATCAATATTTTGTACCATTATTTTTGCATCATATGTTACTTTTCTGTTACATATAACAAAATCATACATAGACTTGCAAATGTAGAATGGGAGAATGCAATACTGTCTATTCATTTCTGTTTAGCGATGTTTTGAGACGACGAGAAACATAGATGAGTCATCTGATTGAGGCAACTATGTTTTCTTTTGAGTGAATATTGAGTGATGCAGTTCTCATATGTGCTATATCTGTGTTTGTTTTATTCGCTTTGTCTAGAATCAGTTTTGATATAAAAAATAAGCCATGGCACAAAAAGTTTTGTTATTGATATTTCAATTATATGTACTTTCAAAGTTGTTTGTTCATGTTGCAAGTAATACACGATACGATAAATATTGCCCAATTCATTCGGACGCCTTGGAATTGGAGATTCAAACTGGAGACAAATGGTTAGCTGATACGGATGATAATATTAATCTTCTTCTTCGTAGCGCCAACGGTATGATCTGTCGAGAGTATCATTTGGATAATCGGGGCAAAGACCGTGAGCGCAATAGCATTGATAAATACAGCATTTGTTGTCCGGAAGGATTCTCAGACGACTATAAAGAAATTAGCATGTTTGTGTTGGCTCATATACCGGTTTCGGGAAAAATGGCTACGCAATCACTAATGATTGGTTTATTGAACACGTCACAATAAAAGCAAAAGGTCGAGTTATTTTTAATTATCGCTTTGATTCTTGGACATCACCGTCGAAACAATGGATGTTTGGCGTATCCAAAATCAATGGCACGTTATATTTTCGCTTTTAATTATGTCTTGTAAAATGTGACTTTCATTATAATAAAAGTATCGCTTTCATATTTGACATGTCAGTTGGACTATTCAATCTACTCAGTTATATATGCGTGACATGATATCGATATGTTTGATCCTGTTAACATGTCATAATAATACGCAATCACTCACATTTTTCACCCCCTTGTATTCTTGTGATTTTGAATGGATAGTTAGCACCAATTTAGAAGGATTGAATTCATGAAGATCGTTCAAGGTATTGAAAAAAAAGTTATTTCCCTACACAATTAATTACTGCATTAAACCATGTGAAAGAAAATGATCGATAGAAGAACAGCATTACTGTAGTGTTTGATCTTTTCTTTGGATATTGCCTTTACGATCATTGTAACTTATTATTGTGTGAGACTTTGGAAATGTCTTGCAATCTGCTTCCTTGACTAATGAAAGTAGCATCTATGAGACTACTTTTTGAATAGTTGAGTGTAACCGCAGCTGTGGGTGTGAGTGTGGGTGTTGGTTTGTAAAGAAGAGGGATGGTCACACTCTACACCCGAAAAATTTCTTTCGAAGGGAGCTGCGATCCCTTCGACACACCGCTCGTAAATCCGTAACTGAGAAAAATTAGTTCTTTATCATTTTCTTTAAAAAAAATATTTTCATCTACCGCCATCTTCTGAAATTGTTTTCATCACAAAACACCTGGGCAGCATTACTCATTGCCTATTTCGCTGTTGTATAAACATTCTAAGCTTTGTTTAATAAAATTAAATCATTCAAAGCAAACTCTCAAAATCGTCATAGAGTGACTAGAAAACTGAGTAGTTATAAATGAATCTAGCAAAAAAGAACATACGCAAAACTATATAGAAGGCCATTTTGTCGAAGTAGGGTGTGGGTGAGAGGCAATAAAGAATACAACACACACAGCCACATCTATAGCCGCACATACACCCACACCCACACCCACACACCCATACCCCGCATCCACCCACACTCACACCCCACCTAAATCCACCCTCACCAAGACCCACACCCGCCCCACTCATCCACACCCACACCACCCACACCCCACACCCATACCCACCTCACCTACACCCATGCCCACACTCATATCCACACTCCTCCAGCTTCTCTGATTTCCTGGATATGTGACACTCCTGTCTATTTCTAAGGATTTTTCAAAAACATGTTATACACCAGCTCGTAATTTAGAATTGATTACACAAGTCGATTTAAATACATATAAAAATAAGAAGTGGACAACTTTTAATCAATTCAAAAAACCATTTGATATTTGATGAATGAAAATAGAGAATAATTCAAATTGGAAAAAATCAAAATGCAACTGATCCAACTCATTTTAAGAATTATATATGCAAACACATTGTTGGTATGGCTATTCGTTTGAAATATTTCAAGCTACCACCAGCAGTAAAAAGCAGTGCCGATCGGTGAGAAAAAAAGAGATAGATCAGCAAAGGCTAAATCTGTTTTGCTAGTACAATAATTGAATTTTCATTTACTTTTTTTTCCATTCATTCTTTGAATTTCCATTTAATGTTCTTTTTCATTTCTTCTTATTTATTCTGTAGTATTTTTTTTATTAATTTAAATTTATCTTTCTTGAACTAAATTAATCCTTATACGAATAACACTTTTAACTGGTACTTATATATAAAAAACTGACCATCAGATAATTTTCAATGATTGTGCGCATTTCGTTCGATATAAATGCTGTATCAATGATGTATACGCAGTCACTATGGACAAACATGCATTTTTCTTTTCCTATGATCACCGTGAAGAATCTTCTCCATATAGAGAAAAAGTTTCACATTCGTTTTACTGGTCCAATATTGCTCTCAACTTTGATATGCTTGAAAAATAAATTTGAGTTAATGAGCATAACTGCCACATAATTACCTATTCGCATCATTTTTCATTGATTTCAATAACACTACGACATTAAAAACGTTGTCTAATTGAAGTTAATTACATGTAACTGTCTTTGTTTGCTCGCAATTATATGAGACAGTGAGAAAATTGTGTAAATCATTTATGTGTATCGTCGAAATATGGCCATTGCGACGTAATTACGAATAGTTATATCGCTATTTCAGACGTAGATATTATCAAGACAAGGAGAAATCAAGAGACTTCGGTATGTTCAAACTTCAGGATATTTTAGAGTCATGGTATCTTCAGAAATGACAAAAGTTACAGAAGTAATGAAAATGATGAAAAGCAATGCTTGATATGCCTTTTCTTCAAGAATCTGAACATTGCCGGACAGACTTTAATACTAGAACGAATATTTCAAAAGTTATTGACGGCCGTAGTGTGAATACAGTGTGTTAATACGTATTAAGGTAGAACTTCTTTATAATCTTGAAAGAGATTATAAAAGTTATTTCAGATTTTCTCTCTTTACTCGATCGTCAAAATTCATCTACTAGTAGAATACTCGCAAATACATTGCGCTTTTTCATTTCCTTATCTTATTGTTTCTCATTGTGCCTTTTTCTTCATTGTTATACAAGTTTCTATCCATGTAGTATACTTTATGATTCTAAAATAACACCATGGAATCCAGAGTAGACCATATCAGCATTTCCTTTCTGAAGTTTTTGATAAAATGAAACTTGAATATCTCATTTCAAAACAACCTTAACCTGTATCGATGAAATTAAAAATCGAACTTGGCAAAATATTTCAGCTTCAATCATGATCAATAATTCTAACATGATCTTGTTCGTACTTCGATTGTTTAAATTCTAGTTATATTTTTCTAGTTATGTGAATGGTTCTTTTTTCTAAATGCATCACTCTTTGTCGCAATCAAGGTGAATCATATATTCTTCTGTACTGATAGTTATATCTGATAGTCATAAGCTATAATATTTCGCTCTGAGAACGTATAATATTTTCAATGTCTAATTTTCTTTCTTTATACAACACAGATAATGGCTACCTCTTCCACTCTTATTCACAATGCTTATCTTCCTGATAATGCAATTCCAACTGCTGAAACAAGAATTAAGCTTGCAGATCGCATTTCGATTTCTCCTCTCGGTGAGTACAATATTTGGTATATCAATCTCTACTGGCATATGCTTACTCGAATAGTGTTGGGTACTTGGGCCTGGGGTGATACACGTTTTTGGAATTGGACGCCTGAATCAGATCCAAAAGCCAAGGAAGCATTTGACATTTCGATATCTAAGGGAATCAACACGTTTGATACCGCTGAAGTTTACGGCGATGGGGAAAGGTGAGCAGAAAATGTGGTATTTGAGGCTAACAACAAAAATTCTTGGTTTCTAGTGAACGTTGTATTGCTCGCTACAAGGAAAACAATCCAGCTGCTGCAGACATTGTGATTGCTACGAAGTTTTTTCCGACTCCTTTCAAGTTATTCTATCCATCTTCACTCATTAATGCTCTTCGAGAAAGTCTTGCAAGATTGAAGGTAATGCACTTTTCAGACTACTCAAATCGAACTGGCTATTTTACCGAATTTGAGATGTTATTCAATGATATTTTGAACGACCACAATCGCACATCAAACCTTTCTAAAAAAAACGGAAAATAACATCGTTACACAATTTATTCTCAAAATACGATAATCAGTTATTATTTCACTTCAAAAGCTAAATAGTATTCTTTCTTTTATCAATTTGTAAAGCTCGTAATACGACAGAAACATTCGTTTAGTAAGCGTTCTGAAGAATTGGTTTTCAGGAACTTGAAGTTTGATAAGTGAAAAAAGAAATACGAGCAGAACACTACTTATGAGGTAACAATGAAAACTTTTGACTATTTTCAAACTGACAATTGAGAATCGACTCTAATTGAATTGCAAGCATAAGACGATGCTCACATGTGAAGACAAGATGAATATTGCAGTCTGTCGTGAGATTTTAGTTTTCGTTTGTGAAGCAGTATTTTGTAATCACAATTCTCTACGTTGAGTTTTTCCTTGAATTACTAGATCAAAATAAAGTGAACTTTATATTATTTTGATTTTCATTGGAGAAATAAATTGAACTTTTTAGATGTGCTGTAGAATATCACTATCGTTTTATGGATTTATCAGAGATTGTGCAACAAAAGAAACAGAAAAATAGTCAGAATCGTCAATTTCATACTATCTCTTGGTCTTCATCGATTCTTCGTTCTGTGGAAATAAGATTTGCACGAATAAATTGATGCTTTACTCCGACCATTGTCACCGAGATCAAATGTATTTATCAGCATGACTTAATTGGCGATGAAGGAAATGTATTCCATGGAAAAGAATTTTCAAAAAAAATATACTTTCCGTAAGTGGATGTTGTTAGAGAAAGAGAATAGCGTAAACAAGAAGAAAAACTCAATCGTTTTTCTCTTGAACAAGTCTTTACTTTTCAGTTGAGCTGAACCGAATTGGATTGTCAGTCAGACTTTTTTGTTATGTTCGTTCTTCCTGCTTATTGAAACATATATTGAATGTAGTATAAATGATTGGCAACATTGAATGTAACATAAACTTAATGAAGACGGATGAGAGTAGTTGATATAACATTTTTTTAAAGAAAATAAAGATGTCATGTCATCACTTTTACTTCATAATGATACCGAAAGCTCATCAAAAAAATCCAGCATTGACACGTATTTTATCAAAAACAACCGATTGTAAACAAATTCTTTGAATAGTAACAAGAACATATTTACAAGAAGATTTTATATGAAGCACGTATTTTATTCATATTATTTTCCTAGATATCTATGCAAGAAAAAAAGAAACAGAGGACCGTCACTTGTGAATACTCACATTCAATCCGTATTCGTTTCGAAAATAAAGATAATATTGTAGTGCTTTGTCAAACAACAACAAAACCTATTTGAAGATTTCTTTCTGTACAAGGATGTCTCTCGATGAATCGAAAAATCTTAGACTCATAGAGATTTGTCGAAGCCTCCGAAAATTAAAAACAATCAGATTTCGGTGAAGAATAAAGCACTGCTGTTAAAATTGCAAACGACTTCTTTTCATTATCCTAGGTTGAATGCGTCGATCTTTATCAAATTCATGGTCCTATTCATCTTCGTTCCGTTGAAGTTCTTGGCAATGCATTAGCTGAAGCTGTCAAACTTGGTCTCACTAAGACTGTTGGCGTTTCGAATTATTCAACAGAAGAAATGATCAGAATGTACGATTGTTTACAAAAGCATGGCATTCAACTTGCATCGAATCAAGTCGAATATTCGCTTATTCGACGATTACCGGAGACATCTGGCCATATTGCTGAATGTCACAAACGAGGTGTTGCCGTTCTGGGATATTGTCCACTTGTAAGTTAAAGAATCATTTTCCTGATCTATACTCACTGCAATATTCGTATGCATAATTTATCTTGTAATGATTAGGGTATGGGTGGCTTGACAGGTAAATACTCTAGAGCGAATCCGCCTCCTGCCAATCGTAAATGCTCGAGAGTAAGTATGGATGAATTGGAACCGCTACTAGAAACGATGCGAAGTATTGCTGCCAAACGCAATGTTAGCGTTTCATCCATTGCGCTCAATTATGTGATATGCAAAGGTATTCAAACTAATTATCTTTCATTCTTTCATGAATAGTATCGTGTTCATTTTCTGAAGCGTATTCTATCTTTCCAACAGGGTATAATGTCTCTTTCGTATCAACTAAGTGCGGTATGTCTAATTAGAACATGATTGACATTCTCTAATTATCATCATATCAGTTCGTGTTCGATAAATGAGCTTCGTAAAAATTCGATATTTCTATTCAAAGATTATTCAACCATATGAACTGATATTTCTTGAAAAATCGCTGTTTTCGCGCCTCCAACTTGTGCTATCTTAGATACTATACTGATTGCAATTCAAAATGTATGTTTTCAAATGAAAGAAAAATCATTGTCTTCCTTCATTTCATTAAAACGCAAAACTCAGAACCATTGGCTTATTATCTTGATCATTGAAGGGACAAAACTAAAAAAACATGAAGTTCGGATCTATGCTATATAATGAATGTTTTATTTTCAGGCGTGATTCCGCTTGGCGGAGCTAAAGACGGAAACCAAGCAGAACAAAATGCCGAATGTTTGGGATGGCGTTTGACCAATGAGGAAATCACAGAATTGGAAAGCCATCCTATCAATCGACAGCCAACATTCTTCGAAAATATCTGGCAACATGGATGACTGTGCCATGACTTTTCTAATTATGACACTTTCTTTAGAGTAGTATTTTCATTTGAAATAAAATCACAATGACAAACTCTTCCAAATATCATGCCATCAAGATTTTATGAAATCTATTTGCGCAAAGATAGGTCTTGCAGCTGCTGCAAAACGAAAAGCGATTTGAACCAGATCTCAAAATTTTTCGATAGGAGAAAAAACTTTCAAATGAGATGATCTCAACTAAAATTACCGAGATTTATCGAATGGGCTTTGTTTTTTTTTACGCATGATTATATTTGGTTTCAATCGGCCGTTGAGCTGAAACCATTAGAGGTTAGGAATATTCGTAAAAATGACTTTGAACTGCCTGTTTGGAACATTTTATGTACAACATCGTTTAGAGAGTGCTTTTTCTGCCAGTTTTTCTCCTGTTTACCGAGATCGTATCATTTGTTCTGCAGGAGAAGAAAAAATAGTGTTCACAGTCGTATTATGCTCATGACTTCTGATAGGTAAAGCAGAGGTATATGAGGTCATGCGGGTTTGGGTGGGCATGAAGTGATTTTTGAAAGCTCAACGTGAAGCAGCGGACTCGCGGTGTGGGGCCGAAAACTGAGATGAGACGGAAGCGGTGGGTCTGGTCTTTCACACCATCAAAGTGCACCCACATAGTCACATATACTCATTCACTCACCTATACCCTTGAATTTCTAATCTGAATTTGTCTCTTTGTTATTTTTCAGAGTATGTACATATGTGTTAGTTGCTCAAAGAAATTTCTTTTACTATTTAAGATTTGGGGTGTGGATGTGGGTGTGGGTGTGGTTGAATAGAAGCACACGCCACACCTCACTCCGCACCCACATCCACACCCACACCCGTTCAGAATACCAGAGGAATTAGCACTAGTACGATAGACAAATTTCTGAAATATCATAGTCGAACATACAAAGAACTAATACAAAAATGATCGATAAAACGAAAAAGCATTATGAAAGTGTATAAGTTGAATAAACAATTGTATAATGTAAACCAGGGCTCGAATCGGGCCGCCCGGCCCGGCCCAACGAATTTTTTCTGCTGGGTCGGGCAGGCCAACCAAGGAAAACCAACGGGCCGGGCGGGCCGAAGATTTTGTCAGGCGGTCCGGCCCAACAACATTGTTTTTATTAAATTTTATAGATGTCATCAGGTTCAGAAATTATAACAAAATATATATTATGGAAGTGTTTATGAAAGTATCACCAGATAGTAGAGTAAGCAAATAACTTTTTTGTTTATGAAATCTGTTATTTGTTTTCTTTATGGTGGCTTTCACACGTAATCAACAACAACTTTTTTCTGGTCGTTAATTTTTTTTATTAGCTTCATTCATTGAATCCAGATACGGTAGAAGATGTTCCTTTTGTTCGTTCCATACAAAAACCATTAATGAATAACCCTAATCTTTTCTCAGATAAATGTTGATTTTTTTCATGTGTAGTGTATTATTTTCACTGGTTCTACATCTAGTAGTTTTTCGTGGTACTTGCTAATTTCTTTTTTCGTTATTACATTAATGATCCAATGTCATTAAATTCATCAATAAATTATTGATGTACACTACGGAAATTTCTTTTGAAATACGACGTTTATTGTTATAATCAGTTCTGCAAAAAATATTTTCTAAAACTAATTTCGTTGGGCCTACGTGGGGCCGGGCCGGGCGGCCCGACAAATTTGGTGGGCCAGGCCGGGCCGGGCCGAAAACACGACAAGTTGGGCCTGGTGGGCTGCAGATTTGATGGGCCGCTTTGGGCCGGACCGGGCCAGAAAATAGTGGCCCAGTTCGAGCCCTGATGTAAACGATTTTCTCTTTGATAATCATCGTTTCAAGAAAGAATGAAAGGGAAACCATTTCAATAATTAATGGAACGCTCCAAGAAGACTTCTATTCAAATAAAGAACGATTTTGAATTAAGAAGAAAGATCTTCCATAATAATATGAAACCACAAAGAATGCCCTCCTTTAGATGAAGAATGTATTCTTCTCATTTATGAACGCATTCACCAAAACATAGGATGTGTTCTTTTTGATCAAGAAAGTTTTCCCTATTTTGATCAATACGTTCACTTTCAGTGTTTTTTTACAGCAACATTTTTCAGCGGGACAGAATAGCTGGCCTGTCTATAGTTTTCTTTTGATGTAGTCAAAATATATTATGTACTACGATAGATTGATCTGAGTGTTTGAATACATTCAATGAATCTTAATAATATCGGACTGATATACCACTAACACCGAAACGTAATAAATACGAAAAACTCAGCCAGGTAAAGTCTTTCCTTGACTCTGTCTGAATCTAAGTCTAGTAAACATTTAACATTATTTTCGTATAAATTATTTTTCTTATCAATTTAAAGTTAAAATGTTATTCATACTAGAACGTAATATTCTAGACACTTATCTCATTATTTACAAGCTGATTGTTGACTAAATAGATATACAATCATTTACAGTATTAACAAAATGTAATGTTTTATTTTTCTGAACAATTTCTCTTATGTTTATTCATAAAATGATATGATGTTTAATTGATCTGAAATCACTTTGTCAATATTGTCTGACAAAGTTGTAACTTCGTCAAAATTGTTGACGAAGTAATAACTTCGTCGACCGATGTAACTGCGATATGACATATATAAATAACATAGAAAAGTAAATGAATCTTATTCAACGTTGAAAATTTCATTCTATACAAAATGAAGATGAAATTTGAATTATTACCAAATGAAATATTCCTTCAATGTTTTCAATATTTTAATGCACTAGATATATTTTATTCATTTGATCAATTAAATTATCGTTTTAATGCACTTACTCGAAATATTTCATTATATTTGGATTTTCAACAATTCAATAAATCAAAATTTAATCAATTTTAAACGAAATCAAAATATTAAAAAGATGAGAACAGCTAATGTTATTTTATCCGCCACATGATATTTCGGTATCTATTCTCAGACACCATCATCAGACGTAACCAAGTCCATTTATATCAGATTCAAAGAAAAAATTCAATAAATTCTGATATATTGATAATGTATAAGCACATTTTAAATAATTGAAAAAGTTGATTAATATGAATCAACTTAAAAGAAACAGGTCCATTATTATATTGCTGTATCAATGTAATAACAAATATTGAAAATAAATGGACAATTCATATAAACGAAATAAAAATATAAAAAAGATCAGAACAGCTAATGTTATTGTATTAGTTTCTCTAAATCTGATATAAATAAAATTGTTTTTTCTTGTTACGTCTCATGATGGTGTCTGAAAATAGATACCGAAATATCACGTGGTGGATAAAATAACATTAGCTGTTCTCATCTTTTTTATATTTTTATTTCGTTTATATGAATTGTCCATTTATTTTCAATATTTAATCAATTTTATCAAATAATATTATCAAAACCAGAAATCAAACATAATATAATTTCATTAAAATTATCAAATGAAGGTGCACGTGGTCAAATTCAAGAATTTCTTTCCTTATTTCCATTAAATGAATTTATTAATCTTCGATCATTATCATTAATTTATTTAAAAGAAAAAAATATTGAACAATTAAATCGTATGTTACCATTATTATGTAATTTATATTATTTTTCTTTTACTGATGATTTGAAATATAAAACTCGAGTAATACTATCTGCATTATCAAAGTCCAAATTACGAATATTATCAATAGCAGAATTTCCATATGACATATTTATTTTTAAAAAAATCTCAATAACATCATTAAGAATATTTTCTTGTCGATTGGATGAATTATGTGAACTATTTCAATATGCATCGATGTTAAAGTATTTAAAAATTGAACACTTATTTAAGTTGTATAGGCGTGATCCATCGAATTTTCCTATTGATAAGGCTATTTATTTAAAAGAATTGATTGTGGATTATTCAAAAGCTAACTTTGAAATGCTTGAACTATTGTTAAAACGTATACCAAATTTAACAATTTTTACAATATGTTCTCTAGAGAGAATTGATATGATGAATGCTAATCGTTGGCAACATTTGATTGAATCATCATTATCATATTTACGTGTTTTCAATTTCAAGTTTTATTTTAATGATAGATATTGTTATGATGACACAATGAACAAAGTTCAACAATTTCAAACTAAGTTTTGGTGTAAACAACATCATTGGTATACAAATTATGAAATTTCTTATAAATCAGCATCAATCTATACAATGCCATATGTATGGAATCAATACTCATTATCACCTAATATTGATAGATACGATCATTCAAATGAATTTGATAATGTTACGAATTTAACTTTGTTAAGAATGAAAATTAAAGATAATTCAACATATTATTTTAAAAATGTTAAATCATTAACATTAAGAGATAAATATGATTATTACTATCTACAAATAAGACTAATAAAATCTCTTAATAGGATTGTCAATTTATCAAATATTAAACATTTAGGACTCATAAATGAATACAACATGGATTTATCAACACCATCATCATTATTAGAATTATTAAAAGAACTCCCATATGTATCATCATTAGAAAGTAATAAATATTATTTAAAATCATTTTATAACAATCTTGAATTATGCGAACATTTAAATAGAAAGATTAATAGATTATATATTTTTGGTGATTCCATTTATTGGTGTATTAAATCTGTTGAACTCGATATGATTTTTAAAATATTTTCAAATGTCGAACAACTTTATTGTCATATAGAAAAACTTGATGATTTATTATCAATATTAAGACAATGTTCAAAATTATTACTGATAAACCTTTCACTTATTAATAAAAATATATATTCATGGTATAAGATGAATGCGTCGAAATTAAATGTATACATTGATTTTAAGGAAATTGATTATCGAGTGGAATAAGTGTTTCATTAAAGCAAACACAGATTGATCATATGTTAGATTTATTTTATTGTTAATAAATTTCGTTTTTTTTTGTTGTTCATAATAAATAAAAATTTTCATAAATAGTCAATTGGGATCTAAAAACTCATTGAATGAGAACTGATTTTCCAGTCCTTAGTTTTCTCATACATATGGAAGAATTGATCTCATCTATATTGATTTTCGTCGCCAGAAACTCTAAATAATTTCAATCAGTATTGTTACAAACGAAAATGCTATTATTTAACAAAATCGAAGCGGATAAAGAAATGAATATTTCAGCCAAATTCTATTGTTCGGTTTTGTTTTATGTCACTTGGAATGTATTTGTAATGTAAGAGAAAACAAAAATTCAATTGAAATCTAGGTAAATCAATCGATCGATCTTTTCATATCTGGATGCTTTATTTCAATAAAATAAATTAATGAAAATTGAACAATTATGGAACAAATAATCATTTAACAATCATAGTACTTGCAAGTGATTTGTCACTGTAGAACATCAATAATATTCAAAGTGTATTTTCTCATTGAATTTTGCTTTAACATCACCAAGTTCATTATTAATATTATCGAAACGCTCCATTAGTACAGGATTCTTCTTTTTCTTTTAGTTTTGTGGTAGTAATTAACTTCAAATTGTTTATTTAAGGATATTATTGAAAAGATATTTTAGTCAATAAAGAATTCTGAAATACTCATTAACCGGATAGATGAATGTAACGAAAAATAGGGATAGCCTCTTTCGTTACTAGTTGCAGCATTTATTTTATTCTGATCACAATGACAAACTGAAGGAATAGGGTTACCGCCATCCTCGGTATAGATGTTAACTACACACTACATCACACTAGTTGTGTCCGTCTCACATCGGACACAAGCTTAGAAAAGGATGAACAGCGCACCAATAGAACGGGCAGCTACTGTCGGTCATGAAGTTAGAGCGTCTAGCTTCATAGTGATCGAATGCTCTCATAATGAACCATTCAACAGACATTTTCTTTGGTGTGATTGAAACCTTTAATGTCTCTTTTTTTATTTAGAAAAAAAAAGAATAACTATGTCCGGCTTTTCAACAAATCTTTTTCAATATTTTTACATTTGATTCTTTTGCAAATCCATCTAAAGCCTTAGCATATTTATTTGTCGGATAAATAATATCGAATGTATTCATCTTTCGTTCGAGTAAATAAGATGAGAGTAATGGTCAAATATTTAAGTTATATTCGTAGTCGAATTAAATTAAAGACAAATAATATGGCTACTCAATGTAATCGATCAAAATGCAGATGTAAACAAGAAATGCAGGATGAACTTTTGGACTAATATCTTTGAATATTTGTAAAGAATTATTCTCATTATGATGTTGTTGTGGTGTACTCCGATCAAAATTCTTGACTTCTGTTAGAATATGATGTATACCATAAGTAATCGTGTACTTTTTCTATAAAGGAAAGAAAGTAACATTGAATACTTCGTCGAATAAATCAGTTGAAATTAGTAGAGGTTGTTTTAATAACACATTGGACTTGATTATGTCATCAGTCTCATTGCGTTCGCACTGATTATAAAACTCGAGATCATCTCATATTGGGTATGGATACCATACCATTGTATTAATGAAAGCTACGACAGTCACATCTGTTTGATTTCTTGTCCAACCAAGAATGTAAAATTGATCATTTATTTGACAAATAACTTTGTAAAGAACTTTATCAGGAGATAATGAATCGATAATAACTAGTCGATCTTGATCCCATACATAACGTAAATGAATATCGAAAGTCAATGGTTTTTTAGAATTCGATTTGTCATACAAAATTAGTTGTTCTTCAAAATTATCCGTAAAAAAGTGTCGACGCAAATGAAATTGGTGAGCTGCACAGTACCAAGTACAAAATACTGTAAAAGAATTTATGAACATATAGTCAGATATTGAAAGCCTATAGAATCCTTCTTCTATCTGTCTCGTGTTCTACAAAGGACCGCGGCGCATAAGACCGTGATTTGGCCCATTGGACTTTTTATACTATATCCAGCACAATCATATATAGGATGAAAGAGCTTCAACTGGCGAGTACTTTCCAATACATTTGACGACTTCCTACCCTATGATTACGAATGATCTTATTATGAATACATAGTAATTACATGACAATCTTTCAGATTAGTTTTCTCTATATAAATTCAAGAAAGTCAGTTTCAATTATACACCACCGGATAGCTCTTTTGACGGGCTACAAAACCCTATAGTTTTTAAAACTATTAACAGTGGGCCCATCAAAACGTTCAAGACCACAAAGTAGAAACTATGCCGATTTTTACAAATAGTACTACATATTTGATTAGTTATTTTCTTAAAACTCCCTATCAGCCAATTTCAATTACACACCATCGGAAAGCTCTTTTCACGGGCTACAAAACCCTATAGTTTTTAAAACTATTAAAAGTGGGCCCATCAAAAATTCCAAGATCACAAAGTAAAAACTATGCTTAGTTTCACATATAGTATAACATGTTTGATTTATTATTCGTTCAAAAACTTTCTTAAGTCAACTCGTGTTATAATTAACTTGTCAGATAGCCTCCTCTGTCAGCTATAAAAATCTAGTATCTTTGGAATCAGAAAAATGGGAACACTATACTGAGATAGGTACATATT